AGTTTATTTAATATAGACAAATTAATCAAGAAAAGTGGTTGTAAAATCATTCGATTGTTTAATATTGCAAAATTGGTAATAGGAAAAATTTCTGCAATTCACTTTCAGATAAATTTAGTCCTCTTAAGTGATAATTAATTAAGTGTAGACTAGGTATACACAGTTCAAATGAATGTTTAAAATGCAATTATGAATTCATCATTGCGCTTAGAAAAGGGCCTATAGACTTCCACATTCAAAAATCAATAATTTACTGTTATTAGTTTGGAAATTTGATACACTTATGACTCACTATTGCAACCAACATTAGTCATCGTCTTATTGCATTTTAATCTGAATAGGCTGACAAATGATACGCAATCTTGCAGTCAAACATATTATTGTATATCATATTTACATTTTCTAATACAGTTCCTCTAACTAATTACTAGGTCACCATGACCTTTATTCAGACGTTTTCATCAAATTTTTAACTGATAGTGTGTAGGGATTTATTGATTTACGGGTTTGATCACAATCTGGCATCTCAAATTATCAGAGGTTGAAATTCGTGGACCAGTGGATCAGATCCCAATGGTTGACTGGTCTACTAGCGTGTCTTGTAACCTGGATTTTTTTAATGTACACAGCTAAGTAGGCGCAAACTAGAACAGGATAGTTGTCCAGTACCTCCTGACTTTCCAATGCTTCTCTAAATGATGTCAGCTCGTGACCGAGCCTATTTTCATTAAGAATCGATCAAAAAGTACACACAATGTGTACAATATCTAACGTAGAAGATCAATAATAAGTTTGTCAAGCTATCCGATCAAAGTTTGTTTATTTTCTTTTGATGAATATTCATGACTCATATGACTGGTGAAAAGTTGGCAGAAAACTGAAGGCAATGGAGATGCGCAGCTGAAGCCCTATGTTCCTCTAGGAATTAAAGGATATAATAATAATAATATGACTGGACAAGAGTTCTCAAGACAAGCTTTGCCCATATATATATATATATATATATGACATTTTTATTTTTAATATTTACCTGAAGAGGTTCAAACCAGTTTGCTGAACTTAACTTTGTGACTATTTATTTCAATTTAGCCGAGATTTATACAAATATAATTTTTCCACATATGACTGCTTTTCACTCGGCGACCAATGTTGTGAAACTGTTCAGTAAAATTTTGATCAGGATTACAAAAAAATACTTCATGTATTTGCGAGTTTATATAATCACTTTATGTTAACAAAACAATGACTAATTTGTAATGCTTCTTGTAAATGAATTTAAAAAAAAATTACAGATGACTTACTAAGCAACACTATAAGTCAGTATCATAAGTTCACTATATACTTCATTGTTACGAAATCTTTTTATTAGGGGAACTTTCACAAAACATAACAGTAAAAGTAAAACTGTGCATTTCTTTTAAACTGAATTTCCTCTATACAGAATTATGAAACCTTTTACAATGGTTCAACTTGGCGAATTTGCTACATTATTAATTAAGCTTGGCATAACAAGCTTGAATATGATCTAATTTTCTATGTTTCCATCGTTCCGAAAAACAGTTACACTTAAACTATTTAAAATATGAAAAATAATTGGTACTTCGACTGGTCATTACCCTCTTTTAAATAATCCAAGAATAAGTCGACTTCCAAGGTGTGAACAGTTAGGATTTATCTGAAGCACACCAACTTTTATTATGATTATAGGTTTCCAGATCGTAGGTGTTACGAACTTCCTGCAATAATTTGAGCGTCGAGTCAGATTGATTCATTATAAATCATCTAAATTAATCCCAGCCTGTTAAGAAAATCAAAACAAGATTTTTCTGAACGTTTCGCCGTGTATTTTAATGATTAATAATAATCCGAATAAATCTACTGAAGCAGCTGTGGATTACACGGCGAAACGTTCAGAAAAATCTTGTTTTGATTTTCTTAACACATTGGGATTAATTTAAATAATTTATAATGAACTTTTATTATAACAAAAAATTCCTCTGTTCATCAAGTAATGCCTTGAAATTATTGTTTTGCTTAGACGTTACCTCCTCTCGATGCTGTTACTATTCCCCTTACATTTCCTTCATTCTCTTTCTAAACTCTGTAGAGGTTGTTAGGATCTTATGATAGTGGTACTCCCATGATATAACCCCAGCCTTATTGTGGTGTAGACATCGGTACTTCAGGCATAGCTGCGGTTGGAAAAGCTATCTCTGACGATTCGAAGAAGTAAAACCTTATGGTATAATTCAAAAGAATTTAGGGTCATGGTATTGTATAAGTGACTATATTAACATAAGTATTAGCTAGTATAGGGGATTCCTAGATGATTCCATCCAGTTGATGAATGCCTTTGTTTGTTGTGATTTATAAGCAAAGAAGTAAATTATCCTGTGATAATTAGATTCCTGAGTTAGGTAGAGCGTCATGTAGAACAACTTGATAAGCGAAAATGAGGTGGAAGAGGCGACCTCTGAGAGCGTAAATCCCTGTTGATTAGGCTGGTTGAGGTAAAGAGCAGACAAGCTAAGCCACCGCTATTCCTTATAAATGATATTATTTGAAGTTGAAATGGTTTGGGGAATACGTAGGTCTCGTCAAACAATTTTTTAATCTAGTGGCCGTTGGTTTGAGTCATTCAGGAAGATGTAGGTTTATTGACCAGGTTTCTGCAGCTGTCAGTGATAACTGTTTAGAAAACTACTTGGGGTATAACCAAAAATAGTCTGTAATGGCATAGATGTATTCATTCCTACTTTTCGGTCAGATCCTTAATTCCTCAGTAGTTCTTGCATTGATCGAAATCATTCTCCTTGGGAATTCAACATGATAGCCTTTCTCAAGTTGATATGTACCCTTCTATACTTCCTTCCGCATATTCTGCAGTAATTGAATGAGCATGTTCTGGGAGTCTTTTTCGTCAGTTTTTAGAAACACTGAGGGCATTGAATCTAATCCTCCTGCTTTCCCAGCTCACAATCACTTCATAGCCTTCATGACTTCTGTTTCTACCTGAGGGTGGGTGTTCATTTGAGGCTCTGTGTCTTCATGATGGTACTTCTGAAAGAGTTGCATATGAAGTGAAGTGATTAGACCAGCCTTTCCTGCCTTAAATCTCTTCCATAATTCGGTTTGGTTCACCAATATTCCCTGGTTTTTTGCTGTGTTGAAATTTTCCAAAATAGCAAGCAGGTTATCTGATATAGTGTTGTGAGGTATCTCTTACTTGTAGCCGGCTTCGCTTTAGTTTCTATGTATTGTAAAACTTTCATTTGTCTTTCTTAGTAGTTCTCTTCACTCCTTTATTGAGAACGTTGTAGATTGCACTGAGTCTTCATTTTAGTTGTTAATCCATAAACTGCCCCATCTTCTGCTTCACAATTTCTTTCTCATCTGTCAGCTTCCATGTATCTGTAAAAAACCATCAGTTGTCTTGCCTTTTCATCTTGACTACACTGTCGATACTGGTTCCATGTCGGTTTCAAAGAGTTTCAGTATTCTTCCACTCGGGTTTCCCCGGTCGTTTTGCTCATTAGCACTAAAAATTCCCTGATGACTCCAAGAGAAGTATTTTTTTGTAGCTTCGTCCTTCATTCTGAGTGCATTGGACTCGAATTGAAATCTCGCCTAGTTTACTGGCTCAGTAGTATTCTAGTCGGTTCCAAGCCCATATAAAGAGGGAGAGTTGGGAGTGAGGCTAACATGCTGCTAGAGAAACGCCAAGGCATAAAAATATTTTAAAAATACAAAAAATTCAAATAAAAATCGTATTCTTCACTGGAATAGGCGAGACGAAATAACGCGGGTTGGTAAAAGCTTTCAGTAAGCCACTTATCCGATATTTATTCTCTTGATGAAAGCAAGAATAAGACTGGGGACGTGGAATGTCCATACAATAAAAACAGTGGAAAGACTGTCCACGTTGTAAAAGAAATGAGAAGATATGGCATAGAAGTGATCAGAATCTGTGAGAGACGATGGATTGGATGTGGATGCTGAGGAGACCGTCAAATGACATCGAGAGCCAGGTCCCCAAGTGGAACCCTGATTAGAAACGATGAGTCGGTCATCTGGTGGTGATATGGAGGAGATCGTCGGAGAAGGGGATGAGAGACTATGGGCAGTCTTTGGCATATCTAAAGAGGACAGCAGAAAGAAGAACAAAGTGGGGTTGTTTTGTTGAAACCCCATGCTCCACTGTGGACCCAAGAGAACAGTATTAATAGTAATATACTCGAATTGTGGTCTATCTCCAGTTTATTTGGAAAATTTTAAATTGATTTTTTAGGTTTCCTGTATTATATAGTGTCTCTCGACCCATTATGAGTTCTTTTCCAATGTTGCCTACCCCTTCTTGGTATTTGTCCCACTTACTCGAATGTTGATGCCACCATGTTGTGTCTTCTTCACTACTGTTTGCAGGTGCCTGCGGTCTTCGTTGTTTTCAACAGCGAACTACTTTATAACTGTAACTTTCCCACCTTCTGAGTTGACTCTTAATGTCGTAATTCTGAAATAGGCTGTTTCCCCCTGCATAAGAGCCTTCGATGCTTTTAATAACATTACTGTAACCGCATCCTCGTGAATGTCATCTAAATTATCGGGAGAAATTACTTACTCGTCTGTTTCTGTGCTCTTAAGTTTCATTGGCAATAATGTGTTGTTTTACTAAGTGGAATCGTTAGTTTCACGTCCATGCTTCCCTTTTCCCGGGCTTCGAACCAGCTAGTATACTAGGTGAGTTCTGTGCATCTGGAAAATTTAATTATCCTCTTTCCCTACATTTGCTGATATAGTGTCACTTCACTGCTTTCTTTTACACTAATATAAGCTCTTACATAACTTGGACTATAGCAGTTTTCGTCCAATCACTACGTTGATACATCTGTCATTCAGTCCCGATTTACTGAATTCCCGTTATGGCATTCTCAAAAGAAATTATCAGCCGATTACAATATAAGTAAATCATGCATTTGAAGGAATATTTGTAAACACATATTTTACCATTTCGAAGAATCTATTTTCACGATAAAATCATGAAACTTACTTTTCCCAATATCTAAAAACACAATATAAACAGACTCAATATATGACTTGGCCAAAAGCGTGTTTTAGGAAAATGTACTTTACATGCACTTGGATGACTGAAATGGCAATGTAATTGTTTTCTGTAAGATTTTTGATTAAACTTTAACAATTTAATGTCACAGTTTTATATTATGTTATACATTTCCTATCAGCATACTGACGGATGAAGTAATTAGTAAAGTCCCTCAGTCACAGAGTTAGAGCTATATGCTCGGAAGAAGTTATTGAAGATGGACTAAGCATTGTAAATGATACCTTGATTGAAAATAGCTATCCCGACAAGCTTATCAAGAAACACATGACAACTAAAGCGGAAAAGGACTACTCACTATCCATAAACAAGAAGACTTCATATATAAGACTGCAGTTCACAGGCGATATACCAGGCGAAATCATTACGAAGAAATTAAGAAAATCAGTTCAAAGAACTTTTAATGCTGGCGAACTTCACCTCTTATTCTCTATTTTTATCTTTATTTTTTTATTTTTTGATTACAGCTTGTTTCCACACCGTATTGTTGGTACAAGTATGGAATTTTCAGCGTGGATATCGGTAGCCGACCATAGATATTAGTTGTGCGTCGGTGTGGGCTCAAACCCCGAACCATGTGCATGGTCGGCGAGAGTCCTAACCACTGTGCCACCGATGATGATGATTACTCGACTGAAAGACCAAGTACCTAGACTAGCCACTTTTCTAATTGTATCTACCATCTCAACTGTGCTTGTGGAGAGAGTTATACTGGCTGTTGCTTGAGGAACTTAATTCTTCTTGCCCACTCGGAAACGCCTACCAGCACGGCTAAATAAAGGTGTATTTAGAACCATCAACAGTTCGATATTACTAACTAGTGTCAAATCAGAATATCCACTACACTCCTACAGGAGGTCAATCGCGAGCCCGAATAGCTCAATGGTAACGTCTCTGACTGCAGCACTGGGTGACGCGGGTTCGAATCTCGGCAGGGTCATGAGTTCCTTCAAGGTTGCAGATACGCCTTGCTGACGAGTGCCAACTAGCACGAAACCTAGGTCCGAGGCTTCCTGTGGCCGGTCGCCTCCAACCATCTAATATCATCAAGTTCGATATTAGACCACTTAGTCCAAACAGGCAACAAAGACAACATTGAAGAATCCTTTTCTATCATCTACCGGGTATCAGATAAATTTCCAAAACCATCAAGACGCCGCATGCTCCAAACAGCAGCGGCTATCGCAATTCGCGTGAAACAACCAGTGCTTTATGTGTAAAAGAAGCAAGTCCATCCACTACTACTGCCCTGGCTTTCAGTGGAGATTATAAATTCATGAATTTGTATGATTGTTTTTCCTAATTTATCTGATATTCAGTTTATTGTTATGTTGATGCTACTGAACTGTAATCTATTGATATTATTGATTCGATGTTATTTAAACAGCACTAATGTTGTTTATAACACTAATTCAGTCAACATGATGTATATATAACTGTAGAACCTGATGATAAAGTTATCGAAAAGAGTATTCTTTATTCAGTAGCCATTCTTTTAATAATTTGAAACATATATTAAATCACATACTAAATCTGCATAATTTAATTTATAGGCTTTCCCTTGATACGGATATTTTAGATTACACTCTCTTTTGGTAATAGTAGCAATATTTTGTTCAGAATATCACATATCGTTTGAAGAGAACACTAAACCTATTAAGATAAAAACTTACTTGCAGTTATTGTCTAAGATGTCAACTACATACTTCGTAATAAATTGGTTACTTTTACTACTTGGCCTTGGAAAATTGTGGAATTCAAATTCATGAAGCCAAATTTATGCATTCGCAGAATATGAGCAGATTTATTTTAATCCTAGTATACTCATCAGTGCCAGTGAATGAAAAGACTGTAAGCAAAGATATAGCAATGGTTTTCCAGGTCGTATAAATTAGATTCATTGACTAGAAAAGTTTCTTTTTGTTGAAAACACTTGGATGAAAATAACAAATTTCTAAAAAAAAAATCTGGTTTACTCCTTTAGATGAAAAAAGTCCTAGACCATTTAACCTCACTGAACAGAAACTCTATCTGTAACAACAGAAGACAAGGGCCGGCAACAGATCGTTTTATTACAGAAATCAACACTTATTTATATATATTTCCTGTACATTTTTATACCTTATGCAAGTAGACAAACGCAGTCTTCTGATTGGTTGTTTTCGAGATTTCTCGGAAAGCAGAGCCATCTATCTGCGAATCATATTGGCCCACGTTTAAGTCTGCTGTGATTGGTTGATGAATCAGCCTTGTTCATATTTTCTCACGGCAAATATTAGTGATCTATACATTGACGTAGATTAATGTCTGCCAGTTGGCTAGCCGCCTGCTATCACCACATATCCTTAGAAATGTTTAAGTAAGAATTAATTATTTTGAATAATGTTTCAGTCAGGAATTGATTTCAAGTATGGAAACATGTGAACTTGCAGAGAAATGTATAATTGTTTCAAATGGAACTACAGGAGAACATGTAGATTTGCCTAGACATTGGCAATGGACAACCAATGATACTGATCTATAGTACTTCTGTTTTTCAGCAATAACCTGCTTCTGAAAACATTGGCAATTTTATTTTAACGCTTAACACTCCCTCTGCTATAGTGGATTAATTATTTCAAGAGCTACAGAGAAGAATTTCGTAGGTTATCACCATTAAATGCTTAGACTTTAGTGATAATTAGAATGCAGTATATGTCCTAGGAATATGAAAATCAAATTTTATTTAGCAATAGACAAACTGCTTACCAGAAGCATTGCTTTCTGTTTTACGTAAAATAAAAATGAAATGAGGAAACTGTATTAAAGTTGTGGCAGAAAAATTTTCTATAGTTTGGTTTGTAAGGGTTAGTTATGTTTTTTACGAGTTGATCACGGATTGATATCAGTTAGAGAACCATTGAAAACCAGGGAGTACTGGACAGCTGCTGATTCATCCTAGTTTGGGAATCATTTACAGTACTCACTCACTGGGGTTCGAACCTAGGACCTTCCGGCTACAAGGCAAGCTCATATACCATTCAGCCACTGGGACCCGATTCAATGGCTCATGAATTCTAACTTCTACCAGTTTGTTCAAAAGCTTGTCATTTCTTGTTAGTAAATCATTTTAATCTATGTGTGTATTCAGGCAGCTGAAAAAATTAAAAACAAGCAATCTTCTAATGCATAAGTGTGTTTAGCAAACACTGACACGGGAGAAGAAGAGTTAGATAACAAAATCCCATTTTTAGATGTCTTAATCAGGAGAACCAACACAGGAAATTTAGAAACACAAGTATATAGGAAGCCAACGTACACAGATCAAATACTCAAGTAATTATGGACATCAGTTTGATTGGGATAGTGTCGAAATCTTAGACAGAGGAAACACCAAAAGTGCTAGGGAATTCCTAGAAGCCTGGTACTCAAACGAAAATGCAATTAACAAACACGTTAATATAGACGAAATATACCAACTAATAAAAAGTAAATCAGGTGACCAGAAAGTTTAAAATCCAAGTCAATAGAAAATGGTCAATACATATGTAAAGATGGTTACCAGGAGATGCCATTCTATCACTCATGAAGAAATTTAAATCATTTCACTTTATGCTAAATATTGCGCTGAAGATGTTGTCCAGAAAGACGATGAAAGCCCCGCAATTAAACCAAGGCGCTCAGAGAACACTATCAATTGCAAAACACTGACACTATTAGATGAAAAGAAAAAAATTGTAAATTGCTAGTATGTAGCAGCTTGATCAAAAGTACTACCACTGTTTATTATTATTATTTCCTTAGGTTCCAAGTAGAACACAGGGATTCAACAGAACATCCTGTTCTTTGCAGTCATCTTTAGCCGGCTCAACGACTGCACATAGTTCTCATCTCCCCCTTACACATTCTTCTCCATATTACCCTCGGACTCCTAACTCCTCATTTCTCATTCAGGTTACAGTCACCGCATGGCTTTAGGTGAGACAAACTCAGTGGTCTCCTCATCTTTTGTCAAATTCATCTCCATTTCCTTCTGAGCGTTTGTTGATCAGTGTTTTACTGTGCAACTGTAAACCTAACGCGATATTATCGAAAATGCGAAAAACTGGGGGAAATGACGTATTAGTTTTGCTACCTACTACTTCTAACAAATGAGTATAAATAAATATTGAATGATGTTTATGCGAGTAGAGGAATCATCGTTGACAGAAAAATTACTATTCTACAATACTGTAACTAGCAGTCAATAAATAAACCGCCACAACAGGAATCTACAGATTATACGCTAATAATAATGATAGTATTCCAGCGAATCATTGAAATATTGAAAAGCAATAGAACACTTCATTCTTGCAAAAATAACTTTTCAACAAATGACAATATTTTACGGTATAATTGGTGCACAGTATTAGATGAATTGCTTACTTAGAAATCCTTTTAAAAGTTCATTTGCAGTGTCGCCTAGATTAGAAATAAGCGAAGTAGAATAAGCGTTGTTGACAATATAATGAGGATTCAAACATACGCTGAATCAACGTATATTTAGGTATGACAGCGGATATTAAGGGTGAATTAGTTTTCCACTAGTTTCAGAAGTCTGAAGAAAAAAGACAACTAACACACTTTTGTGTGTGTGCTATTATTGGAAGAAAGTCACATAACTCGTCAAAAGATTTCGCATAATAATAGCCTTAACAATACATAGTGCCCGTGTTAGAAGTTTGTGGGAGAAAACCATTTGTCAGTTGATATTCGACGTAAATTGTCTACTTTTCATAGTAAACATACGATACACAGAATTTCAGATCTTCCTTCATTTCACTGTTTCTCACCTTAGTACAATTAACTGAACACATCTTCATCACCGGGATTCTCCCGTCATTACTTTGAAGAAATGAACGGTTATTTCATGTGTGAAATAGTTTGATTTCCTCTGTTATAAGAGATTTGGAATAGATTTGTTTGACTTTGAAAGCATTTCAGTTGCACAGATGCCTAAAACTTAGGATGGAATGCCTTATTATCTACAGAAAGTACTTTAACGCCTACTACTGAAGACTATATTGAAACTAAATTAGAACTCAGCAATCAATTATTAATTTTATTCTAAAATTTTAAGTGATATAAGCCATTAATTAATACATTTCAAATTCTTACTCAGTTTGTCACCAATTTTCTGTTGAGTTTCGCCTGTATTACAGAAATAGGTGAATTGAATTACAACTTGTTATTCTCATCTGTGATAATTTGCAAAACTAAAATCAAAGATTACAGCAGCTGAATGGCATATACCAAGAGATAGTAGTTTAGGCGCATTTTGTGAGCAAGTCTTTTAAAAATATGATAATTATTGTACCGAACATTGAGAATAAACACAGTGTCTGTATATAAAATACAGTATTACTACACGAAGAGATAGTATTTATTATAATCATATTTTAGAAAAATTTATTGTACAAACAGAATTCATCACAGTCTTCAGGTTGACTAACCTATATATATATATATATATATATATATATATATATATATATAGGCGAGACAGTAAATAGTGAGAGGACTGGCATGTATTGAACCCTCATAAAGAACCTGGTAGATCTGAATTGTGCGGATGGTTTATGTCTCATGTCTCACAAACACGAAAATTCACCAGAGAGGCCAGAAAGTCGGTAGAAGTAGAAGTGACACCAGGAGATCAGGTGTAAATAGAGAAGATTGAGATAGTGAAGACACCAAACCAACATCAACAAACACCAGTCACCACCAATGGGACCAATCTAGAGGAAGTAGTGTCATTCACTAACTTAACTGGGTAGCACTGTTCCAACTGCAGCCTGCGTGAATGTGAACGGCAAAGCTAGAATCGGATCAGTAAAGCAAGACTGGTGTTCCTTACTCTGAGGTCAGTGTGGAGATTTACACCATCCACCACAGGAAAAACATCCGAATTTTCGACACTAATGTTAGGTGAGTGTTTCAATATGGTTCACAGAATTGGCGTGCCTATCAAGAATAGTACTCATAACAGCGTGCAGAGTTTCGTTGACAGATGCCTCCATTGATACTGAAGCATTTAAACAGTGACGGAAAAATAAATATTTATTCATACCAATATACGAAGAACTTAATTTGACTTAACAGAGTGACCGATTGAGGACATTGAAGGTCAAAATAGGAAAACAAAGGCGTAAGTTAATTATTTCATCTTGAAGGAGGAGGAGGAGGAAGAAGAAATTTTGAAAATGCTTCTGCGGATCATGATTCAAAATGTAGCCGAGTAAACACCGGGTTTATAGTCATATGTTGCACCATGATGTCATCAATAATCTTGTCAACAGCCACAACTTTTACATCACACAACATCTCCGCATCATACTCTTAATTCGAGGGTTTATACCAGTGGAATTCACAACTTAACAGCATCTCACTTTACGTAGAATTTCATATCTTTTCGCGCATATACATTCATTTATTTATATTGGTGAATGCAATAGAGACAGAGGTACACAACATGTTTGACTTGTTACTTTGTATTTAGATAATGATATTTTCGGTAATTGGTTTTCCACTCAGGAAAATATTTAGACTGACTGAAGCTTATGGTCATATCAAACTGAAGTATCTTTATATCTTACACTGTATTTGATTTATTTTTAAATCAATTGTGCCAGCGACGGAGGCTGTAGCTGGTGAATCAAGGATGCTGTGACTGGAAAATGTATTTTACTCAACTTAATAATCCCACATCCCATTCATTAGTCATTACTATATTACAAAACAACAGGTCAAAATTAAAATTAATTGAGAAATAGTTTTCTACTTTTAACATTTAAACTGTATTCACATGCTTTCAACGCCACTGCACGTGAAAACAGTGCGTAAACCTCATTTTTTCCACTGTAAGTGCCATCAGTAATTGCTTAAATATTACAGAATGTCAGTGGAATAATTATATGTAAATTACTTACGCATCACTCCGCTTAGGAAATCAGAGTTATCTCCCGCTACATTACAAGAAAAAAATGAAAACACAACACTTCGTTTACCGCTAAATCGTATTGCAATTGACGGTGAAAATTTAACCAGAGAATCTGTAGACATTATATCCCATTTCATTTTGATCACAGTAATTTGTTTAATGACAATATCTGACGCATTTATGCTGTATATCTTGAGGTATTCTACATATTTTCCAAAGAAATGAATTCATCTGTCCAATTCGTGCACAGCATCAGTAGATATTAGATGTCTGGCTTATTCAAGAGTGAGATAAATTATGACAGTATGATGCTTTTCTTTCAAAGGAAAAGCATTTAAAATCTTGTATCAAGGATATACAGTGATTGGATTAGTACTCAGAAGTATACATTTCGTAAATTCAGATATGTTAATTCCTTCAATCATCGAACAAATCTCCCATTTCATAAACGTCAAGCAAATGTTGTGTCGCTCGCTACATGTCAGTTTTAGCTATCAAAAAACCCCCCAGAAATATCAGATAACACAATACAATATCCAGAAACAGAATGAAGCTATTGTAGTTATCAACTAGATTATGAACCGATTCGAAATAAAATCTCCTAAACTGTAGTAGTGCTGCCAAAGTCTCAGCGTAAATTGAAAAATGCTTAGATATGTTTGCATACGTAAAAGAAACAAGACAGTCACATTTAAACAATATCTATAGATAGAATCCAGTAGATTGTGTTTATCGTCTTCAAGAAAATACGATTTCAACAAAACTATGAGTTGACAAATCTCCAAAACAAGAAGAAAAATACCACCGTATTCAAATTCCCTCTCTGCAACACATCTAAACTATTTTTATATTTTTATTTTTGATTACAGCTTGATTCCACACCTTATTTTTGGTACATGTATGGAATTTTCAGCGTGGATATCGGTAGCTCAGGATTCGCAGGCCGATCATAGATATCAGTTGTGAGTCGGCGAGTGCTCGAACCCCGGACCATGTGCATGGTCGGTGGGAGTCCTAACCACTGTGCCACCGACGCACTAAGATTGAATATTGAACGACGAATCATTAATCGTTATTTTTACTTAGACTTTTACTAAATGAGCCACCATTATCTTGTCGAACTGGAAACTAGGGAAAATCAGATATACGAAAGCATATTTTTGCTAGTGGGAGACATCTACGCCTATACCCCTTCCCTTTTACAGAAAACATCGCAGCATGTGGAAATGCAACTCTATTCATCACATTCTTTTCAATCCATTCAGTTGTTAAAAGCAACAGATAAAATTCATGACAAGAAAAATGTATTTACTGAATTATGGAGGATTGTATTTATTGTATTGAATTGTGTTTATTAACCAACTAATAACAACCATCGCATATAAGCATATCTTCTATATTTTGCTTTACTATAAAGTGGTGAAGAGTACACAGTCGTCTTACTGGCTTCATTGTCTCTTTCTTCTTTCTCTACAACAGTAAGAAGATAACAAAAAGTAGATTAAATTTTTAGTGATGTACAAAGTGTTGAATTCCTCAAATTCTGATCAGTTTACTTATGACAAGGAGTATCTTTGATGAAATTGAGTTGACAAAGAATAGTCAGAGGTGACTCTGAGAAATTTCGTGTAGTTGTGTTATTGTTTATGGCAGTCATTATCACTGTAGGTGACGAAATGTTAAAATACCTTCCAAACAACATTCTTATGCACCCGTGATATTCAGAACTGAGGCTCACTACAATCTAGTAATACGTCTTTTTAATAACAATTATCTTAATGTTGCGGTCATATGGCATCGTTTATCTACCTTTTGTCAAAAATCGTTATAAGTTTGTACAGAGATTTAGAGTCACTTTCTGCTGGTATGCTTGGAATCGTCGTGAGATTGGTGAAAGTTCCTGACAGAATTTCCTTTGATTTGAGACAGTTTTAAAAATGATGGTCATAATCTGCAGAGATGGAACCTCATTTGTCTTTCCACTTTTACTTTGATTATGTTTTACTGTAATGACTTCTCGGCTGGTCTTCAAACGCTATCGTATATATGTATATGTATGTATATATATTTGATATGCGGAAGAGGTTTGGACCAGTTTTATCGTCTCTATTGAATAGTAGGTTGAAATTTTTCTTTTTTTCATGCTTAAACGCCGGAAAATATCGAAATGGGACCATATTTGTTTTAACAAAACAATTAAAATTCTTTTTTGCAAGATTTTGATGAATGCTTTGTCGATTATTATATAAGGATTATCGTAGGAACTTCACGACTAGACGAAGATTGAATGCGGCTGTTAAAAAACTTTATGTGCAGTTCATAGCCTCATAATTGAGAATGTGAAGGTAACATATTCATCTAAGCCCTTTCAACATGCGAAAAATACTGTCACACCCCACCGCATATGCCGATTGGAATGTACGTGTGGACAAACATTCATAGTGAGGATACATCGATTTCCGCAAGTAGGGACTTCAGAGTAAATTCCAAAAAATGTTTCCGAAAGCAAACAGATTCCCCGTACCTACTAAGTGTGAGAAGAGGAGAACTAGACTCTCTACTGCGAAACATATTATAGAGACAGAATATAAAATTGATGTTTGCACGTGGTTTACTGCCATCTACAAAACGTGTTTGGGTTGTATCTTAAAGTGTGTGGGAACTCTAGCAATTAGAAAGTTTAAACCAACTCTATTCATTTGAAAATAATTCGTCATCACACTAGACCTTCTTCGGTAAACTTTGTTTTCATACCATAGTGGATGTTATATTAACTCTTATTTAGTTTAGTGATCTTCATTGTTATTTTGACCTACAAAATGTCCTTTAAACTTGGCAAAAATTTATTTTTTCACCTAAGTCTTTATATATATATATTCCTACTTCAAGTCCGTGTGTGATCATATTCTTCGAAATGTGTTGCGCAAATGCATATTACACGATTTAAACAAATTACGTCTCCTTATTACTTCTTAATTCATGAATGCAACTAATTGATTTAAATGATTTTACTGACTAACACACTTTTGTGTGTGTGCTATTATTGGAAGAAAGTCACATAACTCGTCAAAAGATTTCGCATAATAATAGCCTTAACAATACATAGTGCCCGTGTTAGAAGTTTGTGGGAGAAAACCATTTGTCAGTTGATATTCGACGTAAATTGTCTACTTTTCATAGTAAACATACGATACACAGAATTTCAGATCTTCCTTCATTTCACTGTTTCTCACCTTAGTACAATTAACTGAACACATCTTCATCACCGGGATTCTCCCGTCATTACTTTGAAGAAATGAACGGTTATTTCATGTGTGAAATAGTTTGATTTCCTCTGTTATAAGAGATTTGGAATAGATTTGTTTGACTTTGAAAGCATTTCAGTTGCACAGATGCCTAAAACTTAGGATGGAATGCCTTATTATCTACAGAAAGTACTTTAACGCCTACTACTGAAGACTATATTGAAACTAAATTAGAACTCAGCAATCAATTATTAATTTTATTCTAAAATTTTAAGTGATATAAGCCATTAATTAATATATTTCAAATTCTTACTCTGTTTATCGCCCAATCCTTGGGTAGATTGTTCTATATTTGAGAAATTCGATAAATTAAATAGAAGTAATTATTTTCAAATGTGTTTTTTTAAATAATCAAAATCGAAGATTACATCATTTAAATGTTATATACCAGAATATAGTAGTTTAAGTGCATTTGTCGAGTGAATCTATCAAAAAATTATCACACAAACATTGAGGTTACATTTATTTGGATATCCGAGCGACTTGAATTACTAATTCCAATGAAATAACATGCATTATTTTCGAGACCTGTTGCATTATTGGTTCTGATGATCCCAATATACTTCAAATGACAAATACATCACTGGTGATAAGAACACTATCGAAAAGTGTATGCTCATATGTGGAACACTTATCGTAGTAAATATGTGATCATCAGTTTACAATGCCAAGTAATTGGCAAATTCACATATCTTATAATCAAAGCGAACTATGCGTTCAATTATTTTGTCGTGTATATATCGGCCAGTATATGGTGTTTATGACATTTTTCACTTTCTTGTGAAATCGATGAAGTGGAGCATAACTTCATGAATAGACTGATTTACTGGATTCATGTTAATTCCATGTCTACAGCAGTATTTCAGCCAACTTACCATCGGGATTCACTAAAGCAATATCAAGATACAATGTAAAAATATGCCATTAATATTTTCCAGTTTATGAATGATAACTATGCAGTGTATAACAATTAGGTGTGTTTTAATTGAAAATAGCGTGTGTAAAGTTTCGGATAAAATTCGTCGTTAAGAGAGTAGAAATTCACCGCCTTCGTATCTGAGTTCAGTGGTTAACAATAGAAACCATATATTTTTCATATTTCATATGCCGAGACTAATTGTAACATGTAGGGTGGGCAAAGACGTTGTAAAGAGGGAGGTTATGGAAGGTGACAATCAAATATTCATTCGACTTAACATTGCAATAGTATCCATAATCAAAACCACATGCATTCACCAAAGGAACTGATACTCACTGAATAAAACAGTTGGGTTGATGGTATAATCCATCTATGGACATCATTTCTCTTAAGTTATTGTGTATGGAATTCTTAATTGTGAACAGTTAGTGTGAATAGCATGTATGAAGTTAGTTTTCGAGTCGATTGTTCGCTGTCTGCAATAACATCATAGCCTCTGCATGCTTAAGCACATACCTTCATAGAATCTTGTAAACATTCAATATACGTTGGAAATTATATTAAACACATAATATTTGAAAACGTTTTTGGATCTGGATGTTTTTCAGCGGCTCTATTCCAAATTAGGTCAGCTTTAAACGAATAAATTCCAACTATTTCATACTGATTGCTTTGCCAACATCACACTTGAATATATTCGTTACTCTTTTTCACCCTGCGCTCATCAGTATGTTTTACATTATAACTCTGTGAGACTTTGTCAAATGGAAATTTTCTGCATAACGCAATCAAATCAGTAGGCTTTTACCACTTGTTTAGAGGTCCATAAAATGTCACTGGATTTTTATTCTATTCAATTTGGGCCTGTTTTAAAAATTCGTTAAATCCAGTTGAAATACTGCATAGTTTGTAGATTTCCGAATCCGTAATACCGACAATAATTTACTGTGAATAGAAATGTCGTATTGTTCAAAGCTTCAGAACTTACATTGTTTTTCTAAAATTGTTTACAGTAAAAATTATTTGATTTATTTAGTTGAATTTAAATGACCATGGTTTTTATTTGAATCGTTAATCCCTAACTAACTGAACATTATTATACATTCTACACGGAAAGTGCACGTCATTTTAGCCATTTACTTTTTCGGAAAACAGTTATATCTCTTCTTAGGATAACAACAGTTAACACAACGTTTGGAATGAATTGAAATTTTAGGAATAACTGTCTTGCTTAAGAGAGAGCCATGCTGATAACAGTTTTGATTTCAAGACGAGGTACTAATTTGATGAGCAGTGATTTCTATTCTGTATTGACACAACACCTACATATATAGTAATAATATTAACTTTATTCCGGACAGTGGTTATGAAAATGTGCAGAATTCTCAGTAGAATTTGCTGCATAATATTTTCTCTTAACCTGCCGTCTAAAATTAAAGTGTCAACTGATAGTAGGTCGCATGGCGCAACAGTGTTTGACCTGAAGCGCAAATCAATCCCCTGTGATATTTCTCCTTTTTCTCCGAAAAAAGCACAACATATAGATGAAATCCAATTCAAAAATTGTCACCTTAAGACGTAGTGGTATGATTAAAGACTAAAGGTAGTCAGTTTTATCTCCTAGGCAGTGGGAGTTTATACTAAAATTGTCAGGAACAGTAATGTCATGTATTGGGATACTTTACGGCCCACGACTATTCATTTTCTCAAGTTTGGTAAGAGCCTGCAAATCTGCAGGCTGTACACATTTTAAATACACGCGATAGCAATAAATATCGTTAGAGGTCATATCTTTATGGATTAAAACAATCTGAACACGAGAAATAACATGAATTGCGATGATGGAGGTTTACGTTAGCGTGAGTATTTAGACAGGCGGCCTATTACTTGTTTTAACGTATAATATTGCAGAGTAACCTGGCTTCAGTTAACTCGCATCTAAATTAAGGTGGTCAGAGTAATCTCATGGTATATATATATGTATATATATATATATATATATATATATATATATATATATATATATAATCTTGTAAAATTCAATTCCTATGTTGATATTTTGAATTTGTTATTCGCCCCTAATTTTGTTTACTTTTGTTATGACGGTATTTTGTGGACTGAAATCAGATGGGTTCGGTTAAAACTCAAATCCCTACAAACCAATACGTGGACATAAAACTTAAATCGACAAATTGAGCTATTTAGCTGAGACTAGATTTCATTAGACAACCAAGTGCCCAATCAATTTTCACCTAATTAAAGTATTTATCTAACTACCCTGCCTTTCCGAATATCAGTAACATATACACATAATGTACTTTTGCCTAAGTTGATGAATTGTTCTCACTTTTTCATACTTCTTTGTCTTGTACGTCTTACTGGGAGGTCAGATGATGGAAAATATTTGGTATTCGGTCAGTGATCAAGTTACCTATTGCATTTTCATATCGAACTGAAATTACAGTATAAGTAGTTTGATACATGAACAAAGCAAGAACTACAGTTTTTGCAGGGAACAAATGCTTTAAACAGTGCCATCGCCAGACATCTCCTTGATACATGTCATGAAGTGTACGTCGAAAAATCGTTCAAAATTATGAAAAAGGCAAAAGAGCTCAATTCTCCTCAATTTTGCTGAAACCATTTCCATCAAGCGTCTGAAACCTAATTTGTGCGTTCAGAAAGAAACAGTCATCAGTCTTTCTTTGCCCTGGTAACTAGATATTTTCACCTCTCTTTCATTTGAATGACTAATGCTGAAAAGTTACCATTGTGTATGATTATTATTGTTCGGAATAGTGTTTAATACTACATATATATATATTATTGTATGCATATATCAATCAATTGATTTTTGTTGAAAATGAACTCTGTGCAAGTATGTTAAAATTTTTTTTGTAGATATATTTAGTAATGTTTTTGGCCTGTAAGCAGCTGATGAGGAGGCAACGAAATAAAAGATGGTACCACTTTATCTTGTAAAAACTGTAGTTCTTGCTTTGTTCAAATTCATTAAGGGGAATAAATGGAAGTTTGATACTTATCAGAGATACTGCTTTAAAACAATCTGTCAAATATAAATTTTCCTATGAATTCATTGTGATGGGAAATTTCATTTTATTACTACAAGAATTACAAGATTATTCATCTCAATAATAAGAAAACAAGTGATGTTCAGAAAACAGAAAGTCCTGAAATAAAATCTACAAATGTTTTGTTTCCGAGGAAGTCAGATTGTGAGATTACAGCCTATTCAGCAGAAAAGGTGTATCTGTCATTTATAAAAACTAGTGGCAACAGTCGACCAGTGAACACTCCATTAAAAATATTTTTTTCAATACGATACACTTTGTACCAAACCTCTGTAAGCAATAATGATGCTCTCTGTCTCTGTCGCCCTCTGGATTGTTTTCCACTATATGTTATAAAGTTTGTAACTCATAAAATAAAATCATTTTCATATTGTTTTTGAACATGATTAGAAATTCAGGTAATAATTTATTAAACAAACATCTTATCCTATGAGTCTGTTACTGGTATTTTAAGTAAGACAATTCTTCATCATGAACAGGTAACAGTTTGTAATTTTATGAAATATATGAGCGAACTTACGAGTATCCATCACTTATATGCGAGGAGAAAACAGTTTTATTTGAATATAATTTAAATTACTAGTAATGTAGACAAAAAGAAGTCACAGTTCATTTTAGTCGGTTTTTGAGGGAAACTAATTAATAGAACTTTCTAAAAAGTACTTAATAACAAATCTAAGTGTAAATGATCAATGGGAATGTTATTAATTATGAAGATATATATGAAATTAATGCACTGAACCTTTAAGGTTTCTGATTAAACTTTCTAAACTAAATAATTCGATGCTGTTTGAAACAATGTATTATTTAACTGCTTTCTCTAATTATAAAAGAGTTTATGTAATTGAATAAATACCTACTATCCGAACTCAATAATTTCTCTCTTTCATTAATTAAACTTTAACGTTTTCATTTATTTACTAATCAGTCACTGCAACTAAACCAGAGTATCATCATCGTGCGTTTTCTAAATCTTAGTTAAGTACTCCGTATTACCACAGTTATGTTTTAAGAATTCAGATGCTCACTAGCGACTGGCCCTATTCAGGGAGTTACCTGGGTTTCTGTTAGGAAGCTTTAACCAGTAGGGTACACCAGACAGAAGGTGAGGACAGTCACTCATCGAAGACGTTGCAAAGTGATCGTTTTATGTCGTGAATTGGCGGAAGTTGGAATTCATGCACTGGCCATTTGGTTGGGTCGCAGTGGTTTAATGGTCTACTAGCTCACCTTGCAACCAGAAGATCCTGGTTTCGAACCCCGTGGGTACGTACTGCTGAAGAGTCCTAACTAGGACAGAGGAAACAGCTGTTTAGTACTCCCAGGTTTTCCAATGGTACTCTAACTGATGTCACCTCATGATGAAATCCTTCAACCAATCGAATTAGAATCCTTTCAAACCAATTCTGGACGATATTTAAATAACTTTTCAGAATTCTCAGTAGATAGTAGCTATCATGATGAAGAGGGGACACAAGCATACTGATGCTTTTATTTGATGTCCATTTTGTAATGAGACAAATCCACAAACACGCATACATGCTAAAGCAATCCTCCCTTATTTGTTTCACAGACTTGCTTTCAAGTGTAGGATTACAAAGCTCATAGATAGGATTTATATTAGGTACCTAATTTTCTGTTCTACAAAGCAAAGTTGGGGATTTTCTCGTAATTTATTTTAACCGCTTAACTTGTCTAACTACTGATATTTTATACCCTACAAAATCAAGAATTAAAATCAGAGTAAATGTCTCCTAATACCCTGGGCCTTTATTTTAGGAAGAAAATAGTCTTTCTCTCAGTTTCGTCAGGGAAATATTTTGCTTCTTATCCTGAACATTATTCTGTTAACCAATATTCACAACTTATATTCTCAAACTTCTTGCTAAATATAGTGAATATACAAAATGCCTCAACTTTGTTTTGCTATATATTAATTAAACTAAATTACGATTAATTAGTATACTTATCAAAGTTTCCCCGAATCTATGGATTTGTTAAAAAAATGTTTTTATCCACTGATTTTTAGCAGTTGTATGCATTTATGAATAGCTTTCATTCTTTCTAAGTGCTCCTTTTTATTAACCACATAGCTTTATTTAAAAAACTATTGTTACTCAGTTTTCAGTCGTTTCAGCTATCACCCTTACTTCGTAGTGAATTACAGAAACTGCTTTATTTAAATTGTCAAAAATTAATACTTACTCTCTCCAACAGCTAGATAAATGATAAAAAAATATTGAGGTCAGTATTTTGTTTGAATTTGCAGTTATGTATCATTTAGTCACAAGTTACTGGTGAACTATGTGAGATGACTGTAGTGGAAAAATGACTTGATACTCTCAGTAGGTGAAGCGGTACTGGTTCGAACCATGACGTGGTCCACATTTTCATTTCACTTAAAGTCATCGCCCATTCACTTTTTCAGGTTACCTTCTGTACATCTGTTTTGTCCTAGCTTAGGACTTTTTATCAGTACGCAGCTCCCTCCAGGGTTCGAACCCAGGACTTTCTGGTTACAAGGCAAGCTCGTATAACCATTAAGCCACTGGGACCCGAACCAAAGGTAGAAACAGATGTCCGGTACTCCAAGGTTTTCCAATGGTTCCCCAACCGATGCCAGCTCATGATGAAATCCTGTAACTAATCAATCGAATCCCTACAAACCAGCGGTTTGAAAGATTACTTTCTCTTTCTCATATGGGCAGTTCAAATGTTTAAAAAAGTTTGAAAACTAATACCTGGTTGGAATAATAATAATAATAATAGCTTTATTCCAAACGGTACTTTTGATACAATGTGGAATTTTCAGCATATACCTCAGTTCTGAATGTAAATTTCTCTTCAGATTTATATATCACGAGGGGAAAATAATTAACAGGGCATTCACATTTCTAATAATGTCAATAAAGACTAGGAATGTAAAAGTAAAACTGAAGGTCAATAAGAATGAAGGCAACAATATTTATCCTTGGAAGAACAAAAAGCGACGTTTACATACTTTCTCGCAGTAAGTTAGTAGTTTCATATCTAACACTTTTCTTGTCACATAAAATGCGTGCCAAATAAGGTATCCTAGAGTTTTTATACTTAGTCGTCCTAGTATAGAGTCTCTTATAATTGCTTTCAGTCCTACCTGATAAGATGAAATCAGAAAAACTATGTGCAAAGGGAATGCTCGGAGTCTGAAAAAAATGATATTCGCTTATATTCTGCACGAGTTGAAGTTTCTTTCCCCAATAGTCTTAACGAGTTGGTTAAACGACACCCTACTCACTCGACAGACAGCTTTTAGTGACCTTTCTGGAGTAACTAAGTCTTTCTTAAATAGTTCAGGAAAGATTAAGGGGGAGCAAGAAAGAAGAATGGGTATAATACAGTTATTAGTAAACTGTATCAGTAAAGACAGTGGAATTCACAATTCACAAATATATTAGCAGTTTGCAATGTACACAGTTCGAGGGGTGAAATTTCAGCGTAGGTTCCTTCTGAAACCAAGTTACTCAGATCATAGTATGTCATCTGCTTGATACAATAGATGATAATCAAGAAAGAGAGCATATATGAATCAATCAGCTGTATATATTTTTCTAGAGACTGAATGATAGAAAAAAAATAAGAATTTCTTCAGGCTTTTCTTATCTTGAAATATCTAAGCAGTAAAGTCACTTGGAGTTAGTTAGAAATAAATTTAATGTCCTAAATGAACTAGATTCATCAGTGTTATGGATGTTGAATCAAACTAAGCAACCTGTGCTTCAATCAGTCTTCCTTAACAACTGATAAAAACCTACTGACTTAACAGGAAGTATTTGGAATTTTCATTATGACAAGCAGAGACTAGTAGAACTTTATTTAAACTTTGGTTGCTGCATAAAATTTTAATAAAACGTCTTATTCTACCAGAAATTACCTCTAAAAAAATGGAAATTCATTTTATGCAAAGGAAACTATCTACTTTACAACCAATTGAAATAGGAATACAGATCGTAAAATGTACCAGCAAAACTATATGAATAATATGTTGGTCACATGTAAATGAGTGCTTCACAGAACACCTAAACGTTTAATAGCTGTATTAATAATGCTCTGTCTCTGTACAATGTTATTTTCTTGTCTATAAGGAGATTAAAACAAGAAACAAGGCGAATCTTACTGAGTAAAAATTTCCGGAGAGTGCCTTCAACTGGAAAATTCCAACTCTAAACCGTTAAAAATATTCTATTTCACATCTAACTTGACAGTTAAATAACTCCTATTGCTACATAATGTAAAAGCGGTTTCTTCTCTGACTACTGTCATCTGTTTATTTTCCAACCTTAGATCTTGTTTTCCCCAGCATATCAGTAGTTTGAGTTGAATAAATGTGAAATGAGAATTGTATTCGAAAATAAGCCTTACGACTTAAAAGGCAGTGAACGTTTTTTCCACACAAGATTATAGACCTATATTTCATGTTTAGAATGTCTAAAAGATTCTGAGTCATTTTCTGAAACAATTTACATTATGAACAATCTTTTGAAATAGACCACTATCTTTATAAAGACTATATTATTTATTCATGTATTCAAGAGCTATCTTAATCTATCAGTCAGATTCACAAGATAAGTTTTGAATCAGTTAACACATAGTATAGTAAAATACGGGTAGTGTTGTATCATTCATTCTTATGACAACTAGGCATGATTCATGTAGACATAGTTAAATTATGGTTCGCAGAGCTCAGTAGGTGGACCGTATACCTAGTAATCCAAAGACTGTTACTCTAAGTCTTGATGCTAAACGGATTTACACTTTGCCATCATTCAACACACATCACTTGCTAGCCAAACTCAGTTTTGAACAGTTTGACCATCGAAGTCGGTTGTGTTAAATATGTAGACACGAGTACCAAGATGGAGTATTATTTTTTTTATTTTATTTTTGATTACAGCTTGATTTCACACCGTATTTTTGGTACAAGTTTGGAATTTTCAGCATGGATATCGGTAGCCCAAATTTCTCAGGCCAACCATAGACATCAGGTGTGAGTCGGCGTGGGCTCGAACCCCCGGACCATGTGCATGGTGGGCGAGAGTCCTAACCACTGTGCCACCGACGCAATAATATGAAAATGATATTTACAAAAGCTGTTATTATACCTTCACCTTGTCGAAAGGCTTATATTGATCACAACATAACTTACATTCGTTTATTGCTAGAAAATTTAAAAAAACAAAATAAAAATATTGTCAATTAACAAGCAAACCACTAGTCACACTACTTAATATTGTGAAGAGATAACTCTATTTTAATATACTCCAAATTACTTTTCAGTAGAAATGAATAACAATACTTGGTGACTAAAGCGAATAATACATGTTAATGACAGCCCAGCTTTTAAGTGATCCGAAATTAGCTTGAACACTTCTTAATGTCAGCCGAGAAGAGTTTGTAGAAATGAACATACTCATCGTTTTTTTGTATAAAAGCACATTTTAGATAGTATATTTTCCGGATTACCAGATTCCCGAAAGCGTAAAGCTCCTTTCTAAAAGCTATTAAACTACAATGAACCAAAAAAATGTTTTGAATCTGTGAGAGCTTGTGGAATAGAAGTAGACTTTACTAACTGCTAATTGGAGGGTCACCCAGACGACAACCATGAACTCACTGTGGGAGTGAATATCATGCTGTCTCCGACAGCATCGAAGGCTCTTTTTCAATGAGAACAAATGTCAACCAAAATAATGACAGCAAGATTCAACTCAAAAGGTAAGAAAGGTAAAATGATCTAATGCTACGCTCCTGCATACAAAGTAGAATCAGTAGAGTAGAAGAGAGACTTCTACAGAGGGCTGCAAGCAGTAATTGCCCAGACGAAAGCCAGACGGTAACACCAAAATCTAAGTATTCTGTATGAATGCTAAATTTGGATGGGTCAACATGATAGGAGACTTTATCATGCGTCAGAAGCTCTCGGTGAAATGCATGGGAAAAGCAAACTCTTCGCAGACTTTTGCACCTTCAATGATTTGGTGATCGGAGGTAACGTACACGAGTATAGTGATACACACAAAATGACATGGTTTCCGGCAGATGCATGAACCAAAAATCAGACTGACTTTATTGCAATCTCAAGAAAGTAGAGATGCAGTCCACGGGAGACAAAATCAAGGAGAGGAACAGATGTTGTCTCAGATCCTTATCTAGTAGAAGAAACCTTTAGGGTGAGGCTGAAAGCCTTCGAAGAATCTCGAAATAAAATACAACTTGTATAGCTATTTTAAGAAGGATGAAGAGGTAAGATATGGGATAGCTGTCCGTGGATACTGTTATATACAAATAAGTACCCTAACACACGCCATTTTGTTGTTTGTATTTCCGTCACCTCCCACATCATTTGGAATCCAATTGGTTTTTGATTATAAAGGATCAATTACTCATTCAATGTAACTTATGTCCCCCATGATCACATATATTTAAACTGTAGGTACACAATTTTTGTTACCAAACATTTTGCTTGATTGATACGAGGTAATGAACGCACTCCACTTCAACAGTTTTTTCTTCTCTTCTGTCTACTTGCGTCACGTGTTCGACGGTATCGTATTGTGTCGTCGTTGTAGTTGATGTCGTAAATAGTAATTAGCACAGTTGGCTCAAAAATTACCAAGTGTACATGCGGTCATAACAGATACCTCGAAGGTAACGGGAAAATATCGATTGAGAAACAGATGAGGAACCAATGCAAAGATGGACGACGAAAAGAAAAGCTGAAGTCGATATACAACTAAATAAATAAAGAGGTGAAGAGTGTTAGGAAAGACAAAATACAGTTCTTCGACACACTGGCAGCAGAAGCAGAAGAGACCACAGATAACAGAGACATCAAGACATTGAATGAAATAATAAGGACATTATTCGGCAAGAGATTAGCACAGACGAAACCAGTGAGAGAAAGAGCAGAAAACCCAGTCACCAAAGGAGAGATGCACAGGAAACAATGGCCTGATCTTTCAATGAACTCAGGAACCCACCAATTACAACTCGTCCAGATATGCTGCCAACAGCAGACAATGAACTGCCAGTTGACCTCAGTCCCCCCCCACAAAAGCAGAAGTTTTGAATGCCAGAAGTCTGCTAAAAGCCAGCTGCAAAGGTTGTGGAACCAGACGGAATGAATGAAGATGGATCCGGAGATCTCAGTGGATATGCCCACGCCATTATTATAGAAGGTTTGAAAGAAAGAAAAGCTACCCAATGATTGAAAGAAGGGTGACTTTGTTAAAACGACAAAGAAGACAACTTGGGCCTGGGCCCCAAATGACACGGAGTCATGCTGCGGTCCATGCCAAGCAAAATAATATACAGAGTCATCCTGCACTAAATGCATTTCCTACAGGCTTCGGAATTTCATCAACAGCTGCCTTCGGTCGAAAATGAAAATGAAATGACCAGAAATGTAATGCAAGAGAGGACTAACAACGAACCGTCCTATTTTCCAGTCAAGAAATATGCCAATAGAAATGGAGATGTTATAGACATTTACGCTCAAGGAGCCCTTAAGTGACATCGCGTTCCAGGGTGTCGAGTGGAACCCGAATGGGAAACGATCAGTCTAACGTTCGAGGCTAACATGCAGGAGATCGTGTGAGGAGGAAGTAAAAACTTACGGTCAGTCGTGAATCCAGCAGAAAACAGGTTGAAATCCATATATACTTATGAGGTCCTAGGTCTCACTCGGAACCCTTGGGAATAATTAAAAGCGTAATATCATCACAATGATGTTTCAGTTTTTCAAACTTAGGCCACACATCTAATCATCTAAGTGATGGTGTTAACTGACTTTAACTCAATATCTGTTTCAAAAGGCGTCTTAGGCTTCTGTTCATGAAGTCCTTGATTATTGTCCCAAGTCCCACATAGAATTACATAACCTGTAGATCCCGATTCCACAAGGCGAATGTTGAATGTTTTAAAGTAGATAACATAACAATTTTTCACATATGGAGTCTTCAAAATATACATTAATTATTGTTAATTTCTCATGTACATTGATTTACTACTAATTCGTCTTGTCTATTAATGTTTTTTACAGTTGTATAGTGTATCGTGACATGAAACGACTTCATTTATTTGACTGTCTGGATTGGTATTAAACTCACTTTTGTGTTTTATCTAATAAATTTTCTAACAGTGTTTAATTCAGCCAATTTAAAAAAATAATTTAACTGATTACTATTCTGAATATTTATATCTTTGTATGTATATATATTAGTAATTCTAAATAATGCATTGTTGACCCTGCAATTTTTGTCATTAGAAACATTGATAATTAGTAATCTTATAAACCTACCATGATTAAGCACTAGTTGAAAAACATTAAAAATGTAGAAAGTAAATTAAAATGTTAATGAATTAATTAAGTTTAAGTAAGGGACAATTTATGCGATGACATTTTATTGATCATTTAATGGCTGTTGCTTTATTTATTTGTACTGGCATTCTCTGAAAACATATCATGATCAATAATTCAGCTGCCCCCTTACTTTAAAAAAATTTACAGTCTGTATTATTTCGATATATATAGTGAACCATGCAGCTCATATGCATCTGGGGCAAATAGCACTGTTTCGATAAAGTTCATTACATAACCAGTAAGTCAAATCATACGAATAAAGTATGTGTTTTACTTCAGTACTACATTATGGAGTCCTTTATAAGTGATAATATATATTCAGTAATAGACTGAGAAAGAGGGAGATTTTGAGCAATAAGTATTCAAGTTAACTTACTGTTTGAGACACCTTAAATCAAATTTATCCGGTTAGAAATGTTATTAGATGAAGTAGAAAACATGATTTACTTATTTCAATGAATACATTTGTTCAAAAGTAATCTCTATTAATCCAGAGAGAATAAGGGACGCACTGGAGACAGAACTCCGACCAGAACAAGCTGGATTCAGGAAAGTCAGGCAAATCATGTTCCGACCAAACTGCAACTCTACGCATCATCATCACAGAACAAAGCATGGAATGGCGATCAAACCTAACTCTACCTCAACTTTATAGACTTTGAAAAGGCCTTCACTAGACAGCGTTGACCGTGAAGTAATTTGGAAATTACTCGAGTACTATGGCGTACTCCAAATATTCATCAACATTATTCAACAGCTGTACGACAACGGCACATGTCAAGTGATCCACAACGGAAAACTCAGCGAGGCGTTTGGAGTAAACACAGGAGTCATACAAGGGTGCCTATTATCACCAATGAATGATATTCCTAATTGTGGTGGACTGACTGGATTATGCGTCAGACAGTGGGAAACGGACAGACAGGAATATCCTGAACCGACGCGAAGAACCTAGAAGACCTGGACTTCGCCGATTGTTTATGTTTGATGTCACTGTCACAAAATCAAAGACTTACAAGCAAAATCCGACAAACTGGTCGAAGAAGCAGCTGGCGAGAAACACATTCACCACCAAGCTGAAACCAATCTGGAAATCTTCGTCACTCAGCCAGCATCAACAACAAAATTCAGTCGGATTTTCAGTACAAACAGCGTCAAGTCAGTCAGTTCTTCTACACGGAACGGATCAGAAACTTGGCGGGCGGGTCACAAAGAGTATTTCCAACAGCCTGTTGCAGACATTTATCAATCAACAACTGTCTTCGCTGGCTCTCTACTGAAGATCAGATGGCAGGACCAGAAAGAATCACCAACAAGAAACTATGAGAAGGAACAAACAAAACAGGAACCGATCGCCAGCCAACAAATATGCAGGAGAAAGTGAAGATGGATTGGACACTAGTCGTTGAGCAGGCCACTGGGTGACATAGCGCGTCAGGCCATTGCTCGAGTGGAACCAGGCCGAAAGGGAAGCGGCGAGTGGGACGTCAGTGGAAGGGTGACATGGAGTAGGTCGTGTGAAGAGGAGTTGAAAGAATATGGACTAACATGGATGCAGGTGAAAAGTACAGCAGAAGACAGAAGCAAGTGGAGACGTGCAGTTGAAGCCCTATGTTCCACCAGGAACCCAAGGGAACAATAATAATAGTAATGGATGGCACTACCCAAAACTGTTCTGGACTGACCGACTGCTTTCTTTATAATGAGTGATGACTGAATGTTAAGTTAGAACTTATACCTGTACAAGTTTAAAGAAGAAGCCATCGGAATAGTAATACGGAGATGGTGACAGCTCTTTTATTTCACTTTCAAACATCGCTCAATATAGTAATAATTTTTATGTTAATAATAGACGAAGTCGTACATTAAAAAATTTTGATTGCATATATTGTTTCAACAATGAGGTGATGAACACATTTTTGACAAGAATATCACTAGTTATCTGTCTATATGAAAATATATTTTCAATCCTAGCTCTATTCAAAACCAATATGAACGAAAATGAATTAAAACTGACGCCTTTTTTTTTAACGCAAACTGAACCTCTTTCACAATGTTTCATACTTGTTGAAATGTTAATTCCTTTGAATGTACAAAAAGTCGATTTGTATATATAATGGTATCACGATTTCAGGTGAAAAATTAACTTGACATTCTTGTTCAGCAGATCGTTATCCTCCACACCGATTTCATCTTATCCCTGTGTTAACTAACAGATAAAGTAGAAACCTCTATACTTCTCCCCCCCCCAACCCCAATTCATGTATATTTGAATTTTTTAGGGAATATGAAGAATAAATTCATGTTTTTTTTCCAAGCAACAGTGGCTGATTACAACTTATAATAGGAGTAGTATTTTGTATCTAGAATCTATTAAATATGCATGACATTTAAACTCATTGAATGCATGTTACTGGTAGAGAAACTGTTATTTATCGTAACTGGTGTACGATTTAAGAACTTTGAGAAAGACAAAATCTTGTTCCAGTGGAAAAAAATGTTGAACTTATACAGTATAGATGAGACTGTGTCACTAATTTATTAAAATCATACAACTGTGAATGAATGTGTCGTCCTGCAATGAGACTCGACAAAATTGTACACACATAAGAAGTTATTGTATAGCTAGTCTTCAAAGTATTAACATATCTTAATCACCAAGAATGATGAAACAAATGTGAAGTCATTCCTTCTGTACTCTGGTCAGAAACTTGCACTGCATATCACGGAAACGATTTCCAACAAGTTACAAACTTTTATCATAACAGCCTTCGCACTCCATACTGAACATCAAATAGTCAGAAGGAATTAACAGCAACAACCTCTGGCAACAAACCAACAAAGAGCCGATTGCTCAACAAATCTGTAGGAGAAAATGAGAAGATGGATCAGGCACACATTTAGAAGGCCGTTGATTGACATCTCGTGCACCAGGCAATGTCCAGAGTGGAATGCCAGTGGGGAGCGACAAGTGGGTCCACAGTGCGAGAGTGACATGGAAGAGGTAGTATGCAGAGGAGCAGGAGGAGGAGGAGAAGAAGAAGGAGATGAGAGATCATGGTCAACAGTGGATCTGGCTGATGAGAACAGTAGAAGATAAAACAAAGTGAAGATATGCTGTTGACGGTCTATGTTCCACTTGGAATTCAAGGGGATAATGAAATAAAAATAATGTAATTCATAGCACACAAGTAGGCCATCTAGTAATGATAATAATCATGACAGCTAAAACTTTCTTTATTTTTTACTAGCAACTAACAAGCCTAACCGATTAATTAACTCCGTTAACTAGCCTCCGTTTAGTTCAGCAAAATCCACAGATTTTATGAACAAGTTATTAGCAATTTCAAACAAATTACCTCCTTGAAAGACTAGAGGGAAAAAATTAAAACAGATAATTAAACATGGACATTTGTAGTTTGCTTAGATTTTCTTAAATATCTTTGGATTCACAAAACGTGGATAGAAAAACCACTGGTTCCATATTCACTTGTGTGTAAAAGTCGTCGCTTATGGCATCTAGCCCACATACACTATGGTCACATTATGTGTGACTAAAGATCGACTTCAAAGTATATTAATCAAAAGTCACACCATCCAAATAATATCTCTTAGACAGATAGACTCTTACTAATTGCGGTTGACTGTCTCATTATAAGTATTCTCCTTGAGTTTTATGATACCAGCTCCCTTTCTATTGCTCTGTTGAAACACATGTTTAAGTGGCATCTGCCTGAGTTTTCTGCAATACTAAATGGGACACCGAAAATCTACTAGGGAGGTGCATTGGTGTTAGCCACCACAAAAACTTATTATTACTTAGCAAACAAGGTTGGTTTCTTCTTATAACTCGGTCCAATACCATGACAGCAGGAAAAATGATTGATAGATTATAAGTAGTAAATTGTTTATTTTTTACATACAGTCAGAATGTAAGTGATGAGTGATCATCGCAGAGTTGATTGAATCAGCTGTCTAACATATTTTGCCGTCCAAATTTAGTAACATAAAATTATGACAAGAATTATATTCTTATTTACTAGAAGTATTCAGTGAGATAAAAAAGATGTTTGTTTCCTTGTCCAAACTCTAGAGAGAAGAGATGATTTATAGTAGAGAATATATGTAGCTCACGATGGATGATTTGCAATTAGTTGTGTTCGTTGAGCTGGTTGGTTTAACTGCGGAGCTTTTGTCGTCCTTTGGCGCTAAAGATGTTGTCCAGAAGGACGACGGAAGCTCCGCAATTAAACCAACCAGCTCAGCGAACACAACTAATTGCAAGAGATAATTTATACTGCAAATCTTTGATTAATACATGCAGAGGTGGATGATAACACTGATCTACTAACAAAACTTAATATTCAATTTCATCTACATCTTCTGAAGATTCTTGTTTAACAAAGTCAAAATAACCGCTAACGCTTAACTTACAGTGATTTATAATTTTACTGAAAGCTTTATATAAAATGAACAGCAATTTGAGTGTTTACGTGAATACCTCCCTTTTCATAACTGTCAAACAAAAATTATCTCTAAAGCTTAACGCATAAGAAAGTGAGACAGATGTAAATGGTTAAAATGATACTTAGTGCATTACATGGAATAGAGAATTTTTCAGGTCTACTTTTCATAAAATTTGATAATCATTCAATTTTTAAAGGGAAAAAACGCACTAAACCTGCTTGATTACTAATTATGTAACACTTTTCTTGAGATTCTATATATTGAGAATTTGATTTCTCATTTTGTGATAACAAATATGTTTCAGTTGTGTTTTTTTAGTGAGGTGTATAACAGTTCTGGCTTTTTCAGTGAGTACATCAATTTGTACTCCCCTTCCACACCGTTACATTGATATATATATATATATATATATATAATTAGCGAATGTCAGGGAGAAAGCAAGTCAATTTCACAAAGTGTTACATTTCTATTTTATCATAAACAGTAATTCTTAGGTGGGAAATTATCACCACTCAGTAAATGGATTCAGTACCTACAAATTGCAAGAGGTGGGTTTTAACATTTAAATTATTTAGTGTTTCATATTAACTGTTAGCATCATTTTTGATCGGAATCAAACACATGATGTACAATTCACATTTGACTATCCCAATACTCCGATTACGAAAGGTAATCTGTTAATATTATAAAAATTAACTAGGATTAATAGGAAACATTGACCGTTTTACAGGAATTTTCAGATCTCAGCTTCTAACTTAATAACTTGACGTTTAACTGAGTGCAGTAAATTTTCATGGTTTACAACTTAGCTTAAAGTCCAGTAAATATGACAATAAAATATACTATTTTAAATCAATTTTTTTGCTACAGAGAATATTTAAAAATACCTTTGACTGACTACGAAGTACTGGATGCTCTTTAGGTATGTTTCAAAGAAAAAAAGCATCAATGTTTAGCTGACTTAGGCATTAAGAGTACATACAACAGTGGGGAGACACCATTCGCTAAATTCCGTGTTTATTGAATATCAAATATAACCAAATAATCGAGTACACTTACTTTCCCTTAACCATTCACCGACTAAAAAGAAAACAGTGAGATTTCATGAATTGTTCAAAAATGAAATTTAAGCAAATTTTAAAGATTTCAGTGAGTTAGAGTATGATTGCTCTGAATCGACTAACCCTTACAGTCATATATGCAGCATATGAAAATAATTCATTACTGCTAAACCTTAAAAGTAGTATAATATTGACAAAGTGATATTTAGCACACCTTTTATGTGAATATGTTTGAAGTCAAGCTTTACTTTTACTTCAGCTTAGAAATACAGGGAAGTAATTGTTAATCCTGCCAAGCACAATGAAATGATATCCTGCAAGGCGTATTTGATGTACATCAGTACGTTCATCATTATACAGCGCGGTAACTGTAGGAGTATGAGAGACAGCTGGCGATCATATTTGACAGACTGTGTCTTTGACCCTAGATAATGAAGTACTTTCAGTGTATGAAGTCCTATGTTTCACTCGAAGAGCAAAAAAAGAATGATGATGATGATAATAATAGTAGTATTAGTAATAATTACTATTATTATAAATTCGGTGTATGTATTAGAGTTCAAATGAAGACTACAGATTTCCCATGGTGTATAAAACGTCCATATTGCAATTATTAACACTGAAATTTATGAAGATTAAAAAAAGTATTTCGCACTTGTTACATCTAATGAAGACGTAGTAGTCATATTTTAATGAGGTAACCAGACGTTTAGTTTAAACGTAATTATTAGAGAAAGTAGAGAATCTCGATGGAGTGAAAAACAATTAGTAAACATTAATGTTTGTAAATTGCTTTCATAATCACAACAGTTACTTTTCATTCTCTAACTGCAAGTATTTATCTGAATCATTAGAGTTTCATCTATACAAAATAGATATGCACCAAGGCTAATCGAAAAGTCCGGGGAAACCGTGTTATTTCCTGGATGGCGAATTTCAAAAACAGTTTATTCTTCATGATCAGATCTCTTGTGAATAGTAAACTATGTTCGCAACGTCTTCCAGTAAATAATAATACTGTTTCACTGTGTGATATGTTCAATAAACAAATTGTTGTGGAATCGTTTACTACGTTATTATCCAAGCTTTTCACACGTATTTTTTTCACAGAGATAATTATGTTGTACTGAAGCTTGGCTGTTCCACTTATTACCTATTCACTACTGAATAAGTCCAAATCGGAGTCAATGTTGACTTCAGTTTTTCTTTTCTTCAGTAATAACATTTATAAATGCAAATGGCCCTCTCTATAGAAGCAATTAAACTAAGAAATACACACTAGCTTCAAAAAACAATATAAACTGCACTTTTGTCTTACTAATGACAACCATTCATTAAGAAGTGCTATTTTACTCGCCTTAAACTGTCTTCGTTATATGATTATGTTGTTTAAATCTTTCCTAATTTGAATTTTTATCAGTAACTATTTTCTAAGCAGGTTCTATTGTCAAATTCTCTACTTTTTGTCATCTTCCTCTTATCATACATCTAATACCATGATTAATTAATATTTTGAAGAGGAAAGCTGATCAGGAAATTATGATTTTAAACAAAACTGAATCCCTAAGTCCATTTTATAGAATACACTTAGTTTTCTTTTACCATTTGTCATGCAGTCATGTTTTTTTTCTCTTTCAAACTTAGTGAAGTTCTGAGTCATTGTATATTGCTACTTTCAGTTCACTTACACGTTAGACTCCATCTTATTGATCGAATGTGGCATTAACCAACTATAGCTTCTCTTAGAGATAACTGCAACTGATAGGGATTTACAGAACAACATTAGGTCATTTGCAGCTTTGTTTACCCTAGTTATTAGTGATTTGGTGTTTGAAACGATGGATGTTGATCTTGAGTCTCCGTGTGGGAATACTATTACCATCACTTTTGATCAATAACTGAACCTCAGTGTCACCTAATCGCATAGAGTTTTTTCCGTTTTGTCAAGCCTGATACTAATGCGGACAAGAGGACTAATCACACTTCGGTCTTGACTAAATGCTTAGTTTAAAGTTACTTTTTTTTACATCCTCAAGTATGAGGATGTACCAGCTTTTTTCATTCGATTTGGTCTTACAGTCAGTGAAGAGAAGAAAAGATTAAAAGTGAGAGATTTTACATGCGTTCAGATAGTGAGATCTAAATAGGATGAAATGTGTCACCCGGATCACACTGATAGCTCTCGTAAACCAAACAGAGACATTCGGTTAGTAATTAACCTATGCTTAGCTATTCTTTGCCAGTTGTAATGTAAGGGAAAACCATTGAACATCAGAGGTTAGAAATATTTTAAGCTCGATAATAATAGTAGTTATGCAGAAACTTCTAGATGAGAATATTTTAATGTTTTCATTGAATATATAGACAAAAAATAATTTCAGGTTACTGGATAGATTTTATTCTGTTACATACCAATTTTCTTGAGTGCTGCACCTGTAATAAATTTATGTAAAATAAAACAAAATGATACTTTTTGAATCATTTAAGCATACAGTTATATATTGATCATGAGTATAATGATGTAGAGAGTATGAAAATAGTTTTGTATACTAGCACAAGGGGTAATGGCATAGATAGATAGATACCCTAATCGATTTCAAACAATTCCTGGTGAAGAGTACCACTAGTGATTTTAAATCAAAGCTTAACACCTTTTCTTGAGCGTTGCTTAATTATATTAATCGCCATTAAGTGAATGTCTGCATTTTCATGTATTACATCCATCATATAAACATAATTAAACATGACAATCTTTTTTTTCAAATAAGATGATATAATTGAGCATACCTTGAACATATTCAGTAGACAATAAAACAACAAAGCAAATCAACAGTAGAGCCTTCATTTTGTTTTTGATATAAATGAAGTTTGTATTATTTAGCTGTTCCTTCTGTGTAAGTCTGTCTGGTTTGAAACACTATTAAATATTCTTTCTTCATCTATAATCCATAGAATAATTCACAAAAATAATCCAATTGGTTGCCAACAGTTATGTAATAATTTTTTTACATCCTCTCTTAAGATAACTATATTTAAATTGAATACTCACAAAAAATCACCTAATATGTAGGAAAACTATAGAAAAGAAATTAGCTATCTAAGTGTATCACTCTTAATTAAAAAAAAACCATTCAGTCGTAAAGTAAATAAGATTGTGTATAAGTAGCACAAAAACTGGTTAAAAGTATCATTAATGTAAGTGTAGAACTTAGGCACTGTAGTAGATTATGAGCAATAAATTATGCTTGAAACGTCATCCAATTGTTAATACTGCATTGTTGTGTGCTATTTAAAACAAAATTATCTTAATATGGTTAAAAGTACTTGTGTAAAATGCTTTTAAGCACACTTTAAGGAAGGTGAAAAGTGTACTCAAGGTTATTATACTGCTCAAATACTCGATTATATACTTTCCGATGAATGTCTAACTGAAAATATATTTTTTTCAGCTCCATGTATAATTTTAAAATTCTGATTGACTGAATGAATGAATTAATTAATTACTAGTGGTATCCAAATTATCTCTTATATAATCAGATATAGGTATACAGAAGAGATATGAAAACCTATTTATTGTTTCGGAAAGCTTATCTTGCTTCTAGTGTTACTAATTGCTTGTATTTTGGATTCAAAGCCATTATGTATTGCAATAAGTCATCATCATTTAAAAATCAAAAGGTACCACGAACCTGTTTTTTATCACTTTCAGACTCCTTCGACTTGCATAAGTGATAAGTCCACAAATGAAGCATAAAACCCAAACTATGCAGCATGTTAAACGGGCGACGAGGGTGAGAACTGAAGTGTAAACAGAAATTTTTACTCTTCCAAAGAATATGCCTACATGTATATTGCTGAATGACAAGTGTTTGATACAGTTAAATGTTCTGCTTGCTGGGATTAAGTCACGTGAAATAGTTTAAGATGTCTATTATGCGCTGTTGTTTCAAGTTTAAAAATGTAAAATAGGGTTGTTTACGCCTACGTATGAGAACATTGTAGCTATTGCTAGTGATGAGCAAACGAATACTTTCATACACATTGCATCTGTCAGGTTACTTTAATAAGCTTATAAGGTGTTAAGCAGTATGCATATCAGCAAGAAAAAGACAATGGTAACAAAATTACCACAGTTATTTATAATAAGAGAAAAGGCAGATCAATGAAAATAAGGTTAAATGAAGCAATTTTCATCTCATATATGTGAAAAAAATGGAAACAACTAGGTACATACTTATCGATGATACTTGGGGGAATAGGGTCAGTTTCGCAAGCTGACAAAAGGTATAATTGACAGAACATAGAACTCTATCACAGTAGGTGAACAGTGACTGTCACTGAGTAACTTGAGGCTTTTGGGTACAATAAATGTTCTCCTTCGATAAGCTCTTTCAAATATTCCTACACTGGAACAAAAAGCCTTTCAGTACTTCCTGGTTTTGAGTGGTCTGATAAATTTTTTTCATTTGTGACAAAATTCACAATGACTTTCTCATACAGCAAAGTTTTCCATCAGTTTCAGTTTTGACGGGACTAAAACATTAAATATAGTTAACAATGGTTGAAGTGAAAAATAAAAATCCATGACATACGGTGAACTAGGAGTATAGGGAAAATAGCAGGCAAGCTAAGGTCAAATTTAAGTTCAATAAGATATTCTCAAAATTGACTTTCTAAGATAGTAAGAACAAGTGGTGGTATTAGTTCGTAATTTCTCCTTCTTAACTTAGAGGAAAGCAGTTACCGTTAATATAACTGACTGGTATGGTTTGAATCATTGGGGAGTTGAAAATTAAACTTACTTAAGCAGAAGGCTATAGGACTAGTTAAATCTTGTTAGGGAATAAAGAACCATAAGGTCCTTTTATTCAAGCACGATAGTTATGAATGAAGCTTTTATGTTTTCTATGCTCTTAACATTTCTAAATGCCACGTAATTGTGAGAGCGTACTTTTGTAAGCTCCATTCAGTTTTATCCGTAAAGTTCTAAAGATTTGACCGGCAGACTTAGAAGGTGCCGAACCGGTAATTTTTCACATGTATTACTGGGATATAAAGTAAATTAGTTAATTGACCAGGGGTCGGCCTCTGAATCCTCGAATGGAGATATTTGTTCAGATGCAATATGATAGTTGCAATGAAAAGTTTTATTCGTTGTTCTTATCTTTCATTTCGAACATTCATGAATTTGTAACAAAGACGCAAGAAATTTCCAGAAGGATTTCCTATACAGAGTCTTAATGCAGTGAACGATAAATGAATTTAAACAACACAAATAATGATTAAAACAAGAAAATAGGCAGACAGTTTGGGTGATAGACATAATTAGATAGTAATGGTTTTATTTAGAAACTAGGCTGGTTGTAATAGCATTGATAATGACAAGGGTTAAGCTTACCTTTTGTACATCTAACAGTGATTTAGATTGTCAGATTACTCTTGCTTCTGCTTATCCCTGATACCTTGACTGAAGTCCCAATTATAGTCTTCATCAGCTCTTGTACACAGTTTTAAAGGAGTTTTCGGATGGAACCAGACTTCCTGAGGCCACAGGATACTGTATTACTGAACTGAAGCTACAATTCCTTTCTTTCTGTGCTGACCATTCTCGGTAGTGTTTGCATGTTTTTTAATGAGATATATGGTGAAGACGACCTTCTCAGCTCTACAGGAGTGATTAGACGTGACTTAGTGGGTTAAATTGTCCTTCACATTCTGGCTAAACATTGTCTTCCAAAAAAATGTTGTCCTAAAGTTGATGGGTTTTACCAGAAGATCTTCGAAGCTATAGCAAAAAATATCCTTAATGTCACTCTGACGCTTATACCGACTGCTGTCAGAACATTTTCTCTCATAAAGTCAAAACAACAAAGAAATGACTTCAGATAATTACTGAAATAGCGGAGATTTCTACTACAGCTTGATGATATTGAATTAGTTGCGTTCTCTGACCTAGTTGACTTAATTTCGAAGCCTTCGTCGTCCCTCTAGACAACACTGTAGCGGTAAATAATTCACCAAAATTATTGACCACAGCAATCATCACTGAACATTGGATGCTAACCCTTAGTGTTTAAGTCGACTTATTTAGATGAAGGCTTTCGGTCAAGTATCCTCGCCATTTGGTACTCCATCGTGTCACTTTCGTGCACGATAACTAGCTAGCTTAGTTTCCGCTTCAGTCCGTGATTCGGTTCCGAAATATATCTCATAGTTTGGAAGATCAACTCTGGTCTTTTGCTTTGCCTTTGGTACACGAGAAACGAATACTATAGAAGTTGTTGGTATAAGATCTTGCGTTAGTATACTCCGCACAATTTGAGAACGTCAATACCGCTAACCTCTAAACTGGTGAGCCCAACCGCGAACTTCATCTTCGATAAATACACATATAAACCCGGTGAGTTTGTTGCTTTTCGTATTTGTTTTGTACTATATTGTAATCGGCTTGCATTTCGTCATGAGTGATTCTAGTCCCAAAGTCTGTCGTATTCTCTCAACTGCCAAAACCATTCAGCTCGTACCATACTGGCCAGATAATGCTGAGACGTGTTTCAGATAGCTGGGTCTGATTTTTGTGAGCATGGGATAACCGACCGACGTTCACAGTTCCTCGCAAATATTCACACCCTACCGCGGGAATTCAGCAAGTGCGTAACTGTATAGATGTCGAGTCTCGAAGTAAGTAACTCGTACGAGTTGCTCAAAGCATCCCTCCTCAGGAGAAACATTCCCAAGGGTCGACAATGTCTGGACGAATTATTTCGTAACATTGAGTTAGGGGATCAGTCAGCCATGAGCTTGCTGGCAAGAATGAGAGAAGTTATTGGCCAAAGTCAGTTCAATGAAGGACTTTTCAGAGAACTCCTCTTACCCAAGCTGCCACAGTCCATGCAGACTGTACTTGTGACACTTCAGGGTGTTCTTATGGATAACTTAGCTATTTCTGCAGACAAAATTCTAGGAATAACTAAACGGTCAGTCCCTGAAATATGCTCGGTGGCCAAGCAGACTACGAGTAAGGATACTGCAGTTATAGAGTTATGCAACTCCATCCAGCAGATGCTTAGGTCAAACATGTCTTGCCATTCCTCCTACGTCGTCCGAATTCCCCTCGACGCCGAAACTCACGCGGTCGATCTAAGTCCAAGCTATGTTCATTGAAAAACCCTGACTGCGGCTGGTACCACAACACCAAGAAGTGAAATATTGCCGTAAGCCCTGTAACTTCAGCAATGTCTCAAAGTCTGTGGGAAACCATCCCACCGGCACGCGTTAGCGGCAACCGTCGACGGTGGCACTAGCCGCCTGCTTTACATCCATGATATGATCAGCCAGACTCGATATTTAGTCGACACAGGCACCGAAGTCAGCGTCCTTCCTGCTACAGCAGCAGATCCACAGAAAGAACCTACCTTCAACTTACAGGCTGCAAATGGAGAACCAATCGTAACCTTTGGTAGGAAATGCGTCTATCTGGGCGTAGGTTTACGCGAACCTATTCAGTGGATTTTCCTTCTCGCTGACGTCACAATGCCTATCATTGGCACAGACCTACTTAGTAGAGAAGATCTGTGGCTCAGGTGAATGATTCGCAATTGATAGTGTTCTCTGAGCTGGTTGGTTTGGTTGCGGAGCTTTCGTCGTCCTTCTGGACAACATTTTCAGCGTAAATATGCTATCTTTAGCATAAATATGCTAAATACTGCGCTGAAGATGTTGTCCAGAAGGACGACGAAAGCTCCGCAACTAAACTAACAGGCTCAGAGAACACTAATAATTGCAAACAGACCTACTTAATCATCATGATTTACTCGTAGGCGTCGGCCGAAAACGACTGATTGA